TGGGGAATGGCTTGTGTTCTTATAAATTTGTCTTAATTCTCTATATATTTTAGAAATGAGGCCTTTCTCAGAGAGACTGGTTGTAAAAATTCCCAATTTTCTGCCTTCCTTCTAATCTTAGTTGCATTGGCTTTGTTTGTGCAAAAACTTTTCAATTTAATGTAATCAAAATTATCCATTTTGCTTTTCAAAATGTTCTCTTTATCTCCTGTTTGGTCATGAATTCTTCTGTTCTCCATAGATCTGATAGGTAAACTATTCCTTGTTCTCCCAGTTTACTTATGGTATCAGCCTTTATATCTAAGTCATGAACCCATTTTGACTTATTATTATCATCATTTTTAAATCATCATGGAAGAAGGTTTTTCCCATTCATCAGCCTGGTCTGTTTTAGCATTCGAAATTAACCTTTCAAGCAATAGCTAAAAGACTCTAGTTCTTGACATAATCATCTCAAAATGAATGGATTTCCTATTGTGCTTTGGGTAGGATAGCCACTAAATACTTTCTGTCATCAAAATACAAAAGTGTCTCATCTAATGTTAATTGATTCAGTGAAAAGAGGGTATTTATTAAAACCCAGGGGAGGTTAGTTCCGTAACAGCAATGTTGTAAATGGACAGTTGGCCAGAAGTCATTACACAGAGGGTTTCTGTGTGAGGTGGGGTTTGTTTATAAAATAATTAGGATAAAATTATGTGAGCTATGCCCTTATTCTAAAAATGAAGAAGGGATCATTAAATTCAGAGTTGTTTCTAAAGTTTTTTAGTTCAGAATGAGTTTACTTAGGGTATCTTATCCTTTGTTTGCCTTAACTTTTCTCTGCCTACATCAAATTAAATAAGCCAAGCCCTAGGGCATTAGCTGAAGCTGTATTAAGGGAACAGATGGGAATGGGGTATGGAGGAAGGAAGGTTCTGGTCAAAACCCAACCAGATGGACTCATCTTTTAACAGACAGTGCTTTCAGGAAGAGATCAGGAAAAGGTTTCACTGTGTATTTGGGGGTTGGGAAGCACTTGTCCTAGTCAGAATATGGGGCAACCACTGGCCATTTTCTGTTATATGTATCCAACTACGGAAAACTCACATTGGAAATGCAGTGCTAATGAGGACTTGCCCTCAGTTCGGACTTTTATTGTATATGTGATCTAGTACAGGTCATGTCACTGTAGCTAACTCTTCCCCCTCACTCATGGACAGGTTTGGGACCTGTCAGTTACCCTCAGCCTGGTTTAACCTATCTGCTAAGATGGTTTTTCCTGGGGAGTGGCCACGTGATAACAGCTTCTTAGAGCCACTCCAAGCATGTGAAGACTTACCCCGGCACAATGGGTGGGTTAGAGCAATTTGTTCCAACGGCCATGAAGGCAGCTGAAGCAGGCACTGTGGGTCACTGAGAGCTTGGTCAGACATCGAAGATGCCAAGTGCCGGCAGCTGGCATGGGTGCAGGACGTGGCAGTGGGAAGAAAGGAGGAGAAAGGAGAGTCAGGCTAGGCGAGTCTTAGAGGTTAATGCTCGAGGCTACTTTATTTCAGGCGTTTTCTTATTATATACTCATAGAAAAATAACTTTGTATCTTAAGAAATGATTTACAAATTCTGCGAAGCCCTATTAATAACATAAGCAAACTAAGCCGCCAAAGATCATCTTTTTCTCAAGGGAAAGTCGTTCCAGTGCCAAAGTTCATATCTATTGTTATTTTCCTTCTCAGTGTTTAGTATTGTCTACCTCGAGTCAGCCTCCTGACTCCAGAGCTGGTAAATAATTCCTCTTTTATGTACCGAAGATGGAAAGGACATTGCCCTAGGGGGAGGCCCTGCGTGCCCGCTCTGGCACTAGCATTGGAGCCCTGCTTAGAAGGCTCTCCAGGTTAGACGTGGTCCTCTGCAGCCAAGGCCATCCACTGCATCCCAGACCGTCGCCAGCCCTCCTGACTTTGTCTTGCTACCAGACTGGGATGACTCTGGAAGAGAGAGTGGGGCTGACGACTGCGTAACTCTGCCTCGCTTGAATCCAATCCACACACGAGTCAAGACATCCCCTGTGATGTCACTGGTCCTCTCTGAAACGAAGGACAATCAACAGCAGTTAACTCTTCGGTCACTTCATGTATAAAGTAAAGCATCAGGCGTGGAAGTTAGTTACTTGAAATTAGAAACATTCAGATACCTCACACACAGCCAAGGGCTTTGTCTTCTGAAAAAAACCACAAGCTTCAGAAATGTATTTAGACTACAATTCAAGTTGTCAATTTGCTGTATTACGATGAAAGTAAATAATGGAAAAGATGGGCTGCTACACCCTGGGCTGTCAGGTAAAGTAATACAATACCAGGGAAGGAGGAGTAGGTGGGCATGTGGGCTTCCCATATAGGTAGGCTGAGGTATTCTTTCTTTAATCTCCTTGCTCCCTCAGCTCTTGGAAGTATCACTTTGTATAAACTGAATTAGGACCATCTGAAACTGACACACTGTAGTAATTGGAGAATGAAAGCCAGGCTACATCCAGCCTCCTTTGAGTCAAAAAAAGGAAATACCCAAGAAAGAAAACGCTTGTCTTCTTCTTGCTCAGGAATTTCTTTCCATTTTGTTGCTAACTTTTTTCTCCCTCTGCTGTTCTTTGCCATCCTTTTTCCTTCTTATTTTCTTTTGGTCTTCCCCTTAGGCCTTCTTTGTTCATCTCAATTGGCACGCTTATCCTACTGGACTGCCTCTTTATGGTGCTCTGCTGTCTCCTTGGTGCCACCCTTAGGGAGCCCTGGAAATAACACCAGCTGGCATTCTCTTTGCCTAGAGTTCTTTCCTTTTGGCATGGAAAAATCCTGTTGTTCATTTATGTCAGGAAAATTGTTCAAATTTAGTAACCATGTGGAAATTAGAAGGCAAACTTTCCATTCCATGGACTGTAAGAATAATTTGAAAACAAACTGTTGAAAACATTTCATTTTTTAAAAGTAATGTGTGTATGTTAAAAGTTAAATATATGTTCTTATTTATCATCTATTATGCAGGCAAATGTGTGTCACTCTTATGATGTGCAATAAACATGGGAACGGTGAATATTGGAAGAATCATGTTTCAAAGATCAATCTTTTAGTTTGGATTCCTGGGCTACGTATTGGTAACTGGAATGGCAGAGTAAATAAAAGTCATGGCTGCATTCCACTTTTATTGCCCAGAAGCATTTTCTATTGAGAATGGTGAAACCCCCACATTTGGGTACTGACGTCACAGCTCCAGTGGTGTTTCCTAATGGGACCAAAGAAAATAAAGATGGACAAAGGAATGGGAACAGACCAGTTGTATCCAGAGGGCAGTACTGGAGGCAGCGCAATGATGAGAGCGATGAGAACTGATTCTCAGGTTATCTGAAAGAAAAGAGAAGGGCAAAGCGCATGGGGAAACATCTCAGACCTCTTTTTTATTAAGGATCATGACTGAAGAAAACATCTGACTTATGACCCAAATGTCTGTTTTCCATCTATTTAAAACTCTTATGAGAATAATTTACGAATGTAGCAATGAGGGTATTAGAAGGGAAGGGGCAAACATTGACAATAGACCACTTTTTTGCCATTGTGAAAGTGACTGAGCGTGCACACGTGTGTGTGTGTGTGTGTGTGTGTGTGTGTGTGTGTGTGTGTGAGATATACAGATTAGTTCAGCTCAGAATTGAATAGGACTAGAGCAGGCTGAATTGCCTTGAAAAATTACATCATTCTTTGAATGGCACCAAGCTTTTCCTCAAACAAAGAGCCACCTTTTCAATACAAATATTGTTCCAATGCTATATGGCTATGAGCCATGGAACACTGCAGTCACTAAAGAATTGAGATTGAGGATCACCCAAGGGGAGATGGGTAGGCACATAGAGGGTGCCAGTAGGTGACAGCCCATTATAAATAAGGAATTTCTCAAAAGAGCTATAAGGGATGTCATAAAAGCTCATCAACAAAGATGTCACCCAAGTGGTATGAATTAGGGATAACCAGTGGGACAGCATGGTTGTTCTATTGGTAGCGTCATGATGTCAGGAGAGCATGAGGAAGTACCCCGGCCCGCTGGGCAAGTCCCCTTTGACAAACTTTTGGGAAGACTCCAATGAGAGGTATACAGGAATGGCAGGCTTAGATGAGTTGTGATCTGCATTGTTGGAAGGAGGGGGTCAAGATCTGTTGGAGAATTGGAGTCCAACCTAGACCTGGCCAAGGCTTCTCCTTTAGTAAGCACCGGTCATTAGTGAGTCCTTGCTTATACATTTGATTCCCATATGGGCCAGCTAGTTCTGCAGGGAGAGAAACAGTTCTGAGTTCACAAACAATATTCCTAGCTCCATCTATCTCTTTTTTCACTTTTAAATATCAACATTTTCATATGAAATGAAGGGCAGAAAATGGGGATTTGCATGAAATTGCAAATCATCTATGTACAGCTTGTGTTTTATCATTCCATAAATGTTACAGGAGAAACAAGCTAAGAGAAGGTAGATGACTAAGTGAAGCCCGCCCCTCGTTGTGGGCATCATGCGGGGGCTTCTTGTTCAGGTAAGCGTTGGCCTAGATGGTGCTTCAGGCACACCTTACAGCTCTGAGCTTCTGGATTTGGAGACTTATTCCTGCTCTTCTGGAAAGAATCAACTCTAGCTTTAAGGCCTACAGATGGTTAAGGCTGAACTTACTTCGGGAGGCACTATGGCACAGTGAATAGAATGAGGGACTTGCAGCCAGAGAGATGAGAGTTTAAATCTTGTTGTGTTTTTTTTTAAATTTATTAGCTATATTGCCAGGGAATGTCACCTAATCTCAGTGAAGTTCAGTTTTCTCATCTACAAAATGGCGATAATAATAGTGATGGTACCTACCTCACAGGGTGGCTGTGGGGCCCAAATTCTAAAACCTATGTAAAGTACTATATAAATGCCAGTTACTGTTATTTTCCAAAACTCTGCCTTTGACAAGTGATGCATACTTAATGACTTTTATGCTTATTGTCCTACAGGAAACAAATCCGAAGACAGTGGCATAGCAGAAATGGAGGAGCTTCCAGTCCCACACAACATCAAAATTAGTAATATCACGTGTGATTCCTTCAAGATTTTGTGGGAAATGGATTCCAAATCAAAGGACCGGATTACACACTATTTCATTGACCTGAACAAGAAAGAGAACAAAAATTCTAACAAATTTAAACACAAGGTAAATAGATGCCAATGGATCTCAGCCATGCAAAAGCATGTGCTGTTTTTCAAATGTAAACAGTAAATGAATGTTAAATTATCAAAGGCTTTTGGAAGAATGCTTTCTGAAAGGAGAGTGGCTCTTAATATCTGGATGGATCTGACATATCATTGAGAGGGGGAGAAATAAGCAGAATGCGTTAAAAAAAAACAAGCAAGGGGCATATTTTTAGGATAAAGAAAAACTTGTTGATTTGATTTTCCCTTTTATTATGAAGGTGATATGTGAACTGAAAGTAGAGAGGAGAAAGAGGGTCAGATTCCCAGTTCTTCAATAATCATGGTCACATAGGAAATATGAAATCAGCAGGTTCAGCCCCTCACTACCCATATATTTGTTTGGAAAACAGAAGCTTGGTTTTGTTACAAATGTACCCTGTTGAACAAAGGTGAGAAAATTCATTTTACCATACTTCCTAGGTTAAAAAATGTTTCCCATAATTAAAAGATATATGCTTTTTTAAGCTGGAAGCATGACCCATTCTCTGTGCAAAATATTCACTGATGAAGTTTTAAAAACTAAGGTTAATTGTTTTTACTTGTAATTGGTAAAATAAAAATACTAAATAAATAATTTTAAAAGCTAAAAAAGAGTAGCTAAAAATAGAAAAAGAAGAGATATGCAAAGACACCTCCTGCTCCTTTGCAAAGGTGAAGATCTCAGATATGAGACATCAGAAATTTTAGGTATTCATCTGTTTCACTGATCTTTTAAAATCTTATTTTTTAAAAATAATTTGTTTGTAAGTGATAGCTCTCTTGAAGAAGGAAAAAATACGGAAGTGTATTTATACATATGTGTATGTATGCAGTATAAAAAGAAAAGATATCAACGGCAATTTAGTTATAAAAATAAAATTTTCGAAACCTTCAGAACATATTCTTTGATGACCTGTCATGATGTCATTGGATAATACAAAGAAATGCTGTGAGCAGAGAGATGATTTTATTTCAGCAATTTAAAGATAATTTACAAAGTTGTACAAATTTTAAACTCAGCGACCAAATGTCTTAATTATCTTTATAGTCGGGATAGTGGATAGAAGCTAGTAGTAGAAATCTAAAACTGGCTTCTCGTTCTTACTCTGCCAATGACTCAGAGAAGACCTCGGCCTTTTTGAAGGGTCAAGTTCAGGTTCTTTCTGATGCTGAGCATCTTTCATAGGCTGGTGTTTCAATATTTCCTCCTATTGGTGTGGCTCCTCTTCTTAACTTGATGTGTGACTTTGGCTAAGTCACAGCCTTACTGGGCCTCAATTTCATTATCTTCCCAATGAAAGCATTCTAGGTGATTTTGTGAATTCTCTCACAGCTCTAAACTTCTAGACCTCTTGGGATTCATGTGATTTTTACGATGTTGTCTTTCTTGTCATAGGATGTTCCCACCAAATTGGTGGCCAAAGCTGTCCCTCTGCCCATGACTGTGCGTGGACACTGGTTCCTGAGCCCAAGGACTGAATACACAGTGGCAGTGCAGACAGCCTCGAAGCAGGTAGATGGAGATTACGTTGTGTCGGAGTGGAGTGAAATCATCGAATTTTGCACAGCAGGTAAGAGGGTGGGGAGGGGAGGAGAAAGCAGATGAGGCCAGAGAGGCCTCAGGAGTTACTAAAAAACTAATTACAGAAGAAGAAAGAGATTCCCTTACCTCCAGCAAGTGCTGGTAAATATTGCAGTGATTTTTTTTTTTACCTTAACAGCATTTTACAGCAAGGTGATGCATGTTCTCTTGATTAGAGGGTCTCAGCAGTAAGAATGTGTATAAAAGAGCTTTGCTTTTTAGCCCTGTTCTTCCTTTGGCTTTTAGGTACAAAATGTTAAAATATTTTGCAAAAAAAAAATAAACTGTTGTAAATGAAACTGTTTTCAGTGTATTTGCTGGATTTCATATTGTAGGGCAAATAAGTTTCTTCAGTCTTCAGTTTCCTCTGAGGTCTCTCCCTTAATATCTGTGAGGCAGCTCAGGGGTGCTGCAGTGCACACAGTGCTGGAAGATCTGAGTTCAAATTCAGCCTTCGACATTTACTTCTGTAAAATGGGAGTGAGAGTGACGGCACCTGCCTCCCAGGACTGTTGTGAGGATTAAATGAGATCATGTTCATAAAGTGCTCAATACAATGCCCGGCACATAGTAGGGGCTTCACAAGTGCTCGTTTCCTTCCTATAACCACTGCTTCTTGATAGCCACTGTAGAACGAGGGAGTTTGCCCAGGTCTTTCTGGCTTTTAAATGGAAGGCCAGCTCCCACCAAGCCAGTGACAAAGCAGTGATCTGCCAGTCAATGGGTGCTTATTAGACACCTACTGTGTGCCAGGCGCTGCACTAGCCATTGGGGGCACAAGTACAAAGAATCCAACAACCTCTTCTTGAAAGGTTTTGATATTCCAGCAGGGAAGACAAGTCCAGTAATCACGTGAATAAGTATGTACAAAGTAGTGTCGTGTGATATAGTTTGGAATGGAGGACAAGAGAAGGCAAGGAGAGAAGAACCCTGGGAGGTGGAGGTGAAGAGGGAGGGCATTCCAGACATGGGGCACAGCCAGAGCAAAGGTTTGGAAGTGGGAGAGGGAGTATCATGGGTGAAGAACAGAGAGGTCAGGTTGGCTGGATAACAACAACAATCAGAAGAATAACATTTGTGAATGGAAGAAATATCCAGTGAGGCTGGAAAGCTAGATTGGGATCAGGTTGTGAAGGGCTGGAAAAGCAAAAGAGAGGAGTGCATATTTGATCCTTGAGGCAATAGAAATCCCAGGGTCAGAGCTGTGCATAAGGAACGCCTGTTGCTGCTATGGGTAGGATAGACTAGGGTTGGGCAAGCCTGGAGGCTGGAGGCCACTGCAGAGGCTTTTGGGATAGTTGATGTGAGAGGTGAGGAGGGTCTAAGGGAATGGCCACAAGTGGGATTAGACGTGGTAGAGATAGGTAGAGATAGGGAAGTTTGAAGTGGGGGAGGAGAGATGGCTTGGGGGAAGATAATGAGCTCAGGTTGGGATATGTGGAGGTTAAATTTTCCCTAGAACACCCAATTTGAAATGTTCAATAGGCAGTCGTTGATGGGGGTCTACAGATCAGGGTGAGACCAGGCCTGGATAGAGAAATCTGGGCATCGTCTACACTGAGAAGAGGGCTAACCCCAAGAGAGGGAGAGAAGGCGCAGGATGGCGCTTGGGGAACCCTGAACCCAGGGGCTGTGATGCGGATGATGATGCCAGCAAAGGAAACCCAGGCCCGGTCACCCAGCATTGGGAGACAAGCCTTTCTCTAGTGGAAATAATCCAGCCCCTTGAGGATAAAGAATGCCACCATTTCCTCCATTTATTGAGTTAACAGATATTTTTGAGTCCCTAGTAAATGTAAAGCATTATGTTAGCTGTTATGGGGGATGCTGAGATGCCACTCCCTGGAAAGTGTCCGTTGTCCTCTTGCGCTGCTTAATTGTGAGGTTTCCCTCATCATTTCTTTGTCCTGTCTATTGTTTGCAATATGGAACTGTCAAGAGAGGTTGTGCATGTATTTAAACATTGAGGAGCTTGTAGAAATGCCACTAAAAGCACGCCTTTTGCCAATTTCAGGTTGCCTAGCAACTTTCTCTAGCTGAGCCCTGGTGCTGAACAGAGAAAAACTAGCTCTCTCCCACTGGGGTGGCCTCATATTTACTTGCATAATTCTGGGCCCAGTGCACTCCTGCTTCTCCTTTATTCCAATGTAGTCTACTCCCTCTGAGCATCCAACTCAGTAACTGCCTCTTCAGTTTGACTGACATTTGCTAAACAGTCCCTTCCTCGTCAAGATAAGACCTCATGTCTCATCGCATTTAAGCTCTGGGTTGAATTCTTACAGGCGGACTGTTGTTTTTTCTCATACTGTTTTGACCTTAAGAAAGCCAGAATTTAGAGCTGGAAGGAACCCCAAGAAATAGGTTTTATGTACAGGTTTTGGGGGAGATTGAATGCACAGCAGACTGAATTCAGTAAAGAGAAAATATATTTTGTTTTTCCTTCTTTAAAATGAATTTGTCAGTCACTTAATATTAAGTTTTATTCCAAACCAAAAATTACATCTTTGGCCCCCAGGTTTTTGGCTTGCCAGCTCAAAACATGGAACCTGCGGATCTGAAGTGATTCTGTTGCCTCTAACTCAGTGTGCTGAGTCTGCGAGTGACTCAGGTTGGATGGGTTACAAAATCAAATCAGTTACTGCTTGACTTGGTTGAATGAACTCATGATTTTTAAATAGAAAGGGTCTGCCATTGAATCAGATAATCAAAGAGGATGTTTGTAGACATGTAGCCTTACAGGTGTGTGAGGACGCAGTGGGTTTGGTTAATCTGTTGTTCCCCAACCTTGGGGAGCCAACCAATGTTGGGCAGATCTCTCACATGCGTAGATACATTAAGACGTGGTGTAGATTTCAGGGGATAGAATTCAAGTGCTTTGAATTTTGGTTTATTTTATTAATTCTTATAAGGAAATTGTTAATCCTGGAAATGAGTAGAATGATCATCTTTGAATAGAAAAAATATTTCTTTTATATATTGTCCTTATTTATGTACATATGCAGAAAATGATAACTTACTATTCTTTTATCTCTGATGAAAGAAAAAGGAAAAATAGCTTTTATACTCATTTGAAGGATTTTGGTCAATGAATATTTGTCAGTGAGCTGCTCTGTGATATGTGCTAGCAATGGCTTTATAACCTTGAGTTGTTGATCATCAAACAGCCTATCAGAGGAAGTAATGATACATCGTTTCCTAAGAGGTCAGGAAAAGAATAAAGATGTCTCTGTCTGCAGGTGTGCAAACACATACTGCTTAAAAAGCATCAAGAGAGGTGGTGTCCTAATGCCCTTTTGAGCTCCGAAGGTTTAAAATGTCATTTGAGTTCATTTTCTGGAACATAACAGTTTACTCTTTCCAACACGTCAGGTTTAACCCTGAAAGTTTTGGGATAGAAGTCTTCCTGGAATTGTGTACCTCCTGTAAAGCATGCCCAGTGCTAATCAGAACATAAATAAAAGTCATCCATATAGAAATGGAGCACAGCTCTCTTAAGTTGGCCTCAGTCCTTCCTGAATTCCTAGGAAGAAGACAGTTTCTCCGAGGGAGGCTTTCTGTCAAATGTACTGATCAGTTTCCAGATCATCATTGGTGGGATACCCATAAGCACCATTTCTGTGACATCTTGACCCCTGTTTTAGCTACTTGGTACTGAGTTTGGACTGTTTTGGAATCATTAAAAATTATTTAAATGAAACCACATCATTCCATTATGTTCAGCTAGAGTTTATCAGATGTAACTGGTATCTGAATTTTAGTCAAACACTTTGTCCCTCTTGGTCTTTTTTCCACAATCCCCACAACTATCTTGGGGAATTTTGTTTTGGAAAAAAGTCTAAAATCTCAAAGGACCAAACTGTTCCTTATTGTTCATCAGTACAAGACTTTGATTACTACAGAAAGGCTCTCAGAATACTGAGTTGGTGAACAGAACCAGACTGTTTACCAAGGACTTTAGCTCTTCAGGAATCTTGAGGACCCAGAGAATCAGAACAGGGTTCTATTTCTTAAGTACTCCTGACTGTTGTCCAGGGACAAGTGATTCTATAAGATTCAGTTTCTTCTCTTAAATTGGAATATTATCTGCCCCACCTATCTATCTCATAAGGTTGTTAAAAGAATCAAATGAGATCCTTTAATTATGAGAAGGTTCTTGAAAACCCATAAAGTTTTGTAAGACTGTACTGGAAAGTATATAAGAGATGATGATGAATCAGCTCACCTCATATCACGTTTTTTAGCTTTTCATTTAAATTAGCAACTCAGTAAATGGCCATACGTGACCGGTTGCCATGAGTTAGATTGCATGAGGTCCCTTTGAGCTCCAAACCCGTGATCCTATGAGTACCTTCCCTAAACTCTCCTCCAGATTTTCATTTGGGGGTCTTTATATCTCCATGAGTGAAAATAAAGACAGTCTAAACAACTCATGGGAACAGAACATAATCGTAGAGTTGGAATGAACCATAGGGTTTACCTAATTCTCCTCTCCCAAAGGGGCAAGTGACTTGTTCAGGGTTGTCTGTTGAGGGCAGTGAAGTGTCCTTGCCATAGCTGTATTCTTAACAAAGCCATTGTGGATGGATATGCAGACACGTGTGTGTGTGTGTGTGTGTGTGTGTGTGTGTGTAGACACATATAGATATGTATATTTATGTGTGTATATAGACATGTATACACATGTGTTTATTGTCAAGTAGTTTTCAGTCATGTCCAACTGCTTGTGACCGTATTTGGGGTTTTCTTGGCAGAGATACTGGAGTAGTTTGCCATTTTCTTCTCCACAGATGAGAAACCTGAGGCAAATAAGGTTAAGTGACTTGCCCAGGGTCACACAGCTAGTGAGTGTCTGAGGCCAAATTTGAACTCAGGAAGATGGGCCTTCCTGCCCCCACGCCGGGTGCCTTATCCACGGTACCAACAAAGAAATAGTGATTTTTTATTTCCTACCGAGTATGTAATGATAGTTTTATTCTTACTCCCTAAGGGTGAAATGGAATTTTCCTCAGTTCATTAAAGTCTAAGTCTCAGGCCAGAGTTTTAATAACATACTGTCTTCTCTTTTGCAGATTATTCCAAAGTTCACTTAGCACAACTCTTAGAAAAGGCTGAAGTGATTGCAGGACGTATGCTTAAATTCACCGTTTTTTATCGTAATCAGCACAAAGAATACTTTGACTACATTCGGTAAGAACCCAAGAGTATCATTTTGAGAGAGTAACTTACATGTCACCTAATTTAGCACTTATATAATTCATGCACAAGAAAAGAGCCTGCCTGGTCCAAAGTGTGAACAGAAAATTATATTCTGTTTATTTTGAATTCTGAAAGGAAAAAGACTAAAACAAAACCATTTCCTCAGAAGTTCCATTCAGCAATTTAATTAGCATGGAAAATAAAAGCACATGTGAACTTGAACTAGAATTAAATGAATAAAATTGCATTTGAAATTCTAACCTGATATAACCCGTTGCTAGTATGATTAAGTGGCCTTTTACATTTTATATTTTCAAATACCTAATTCTCTTTGGACTTGTCCATCTGTAAAGGCCTCCAAAGTGTGTGGTCTTTGGGTCCCTGGCCTGGTTACCATCCCACAAGTGCTGCTGTGTGTGCTCTGGGTCAGGGAGCATCTGTGCTCCCTGTGAGCATTAGCCATCTCACGCACCCCTTTCTTGTTTTTCTTCTGCCAAACATTTAACCTTTAAGCCTTTTTAAAGTCTCTTATAGACGTTGAAAACAAGAAAATTAGATGGTCAGTTCTGGGCTGCAGTCATGATGAAATCACGTGAAAACTAGGTTTCTTGGCACCTTGAAATCCCTTTCCTTTCCTTCCTTCCATACCTGTGTTTTCTACAGGTCATGCCCCCTTGGCTCCTTCTGAACCCTCAAACATCCATTTGATTCATGTTCCTAAAGGTTGACAATGGCTAGTTACCACAGAAGCCAAACAAATCCTTAGAAAAGCAGGCAAAAGATTTAATCCTTTGGGCATTTTCTAACGTTTTTAGTGATTAGTTCATCTTGGGAGTGAATTGCTCCCCAGTATTTGAATATAGATTTTCAAGTGGAAACCAGGTTTGGAGAGTGGGGAAGGAACTTAGCCCATGATCCCAACCTGCAGCTAGCAGAGCTGCTTAGCCCAGCCTGACCGCGGCCTTGCTCTGTGTCCTCAGCCAAGCGTCTGTGTTCCTTCACATTTCTTAGCCCAATCTGAATGATCTATGCCAAGGGTGGGGAACTTGCAGCCTCGAGGCCACATGTGGTCTTCTAGGTCCTTAGGTGTGGCCTTTTGTCTGAGTCCAAGTTTTATAGATCAAATCCTTTTATTAAGAGAATTTGTTCTGTGAAGTTTAGATTCAGCCAAAGGGCTACGCTTGAGGACCTAGAGGGCCACATGTGGCCTCGAGGCCGCAGGTTCCCCACCCCTGATCTTTGCTTTGTGGAGCTTGTATTCTAGTGGGTGATAAGGCACACATGTGACTATCACACATGATTAACAGACAGAATATGATTAGTAATGGTAGTAGCTAGACTCCTCCAGGATCTTTGAGTGACAGACCTGTAGAGATGAACTGTCAGAATCCCCAAATGGCATTTAACAGAGCCTTGTAATCATGGGGCATGTGAGGGAAATTAGAAAAGCAGAGGGACTTAGTCTTCAGCTCTAGGGCTTAGCAAATTTCTATCAAAACTTGTGTCAGATGAGTGTCACTGCAAGGTTGGCACCATATTTTTACCTGCTAAAGGTTCTCCCTTAGAGTGTGATGAATGGTAAATGCCAAAGAGTAGCTAGTGATGTGTTTCAGTTATGAAATCTGGCCAACAGATGGACCAGGAATGACTCTAAGTTAGGAACCATCTTGTTTTTATACAATATACCTCTTAAAGGAGTTACTCTGTATGTCTATTTAGAGTCAAATTTATAAAATCAGTCTGGTCATTGCTGTTTCCTTTAACAAGGAATATACTTGGAATGACAGGCAGGATAAAGAAGAATCTTTGGCATAGAACTGAATTTTGACTCCTTGCAAAATAATGCAAATATAGAATTATTTTTGCTAGCCACTGGAGGGCAGTATTACTCCACAACATATACCCTACAGCTCAGTTCTGGGTGTGGTTTCTCTCCAAACCTGTTTCAACCCTTTTCACAAGCCAATATCTAATATGTGGCACATTGCTTAAGAATATGAGAAAGAAAACTGTAGGAAAGTTTATCATTTGTTACAAGCTGTCAGTCAAAAGGATCCTTCTACTACTGGGTTAAGCTTACATAGCTGGCTTTCCCATGATAGCTGTAAAATTGATGTAAATCACGTCTCTTGCAATATACTGAACATACTTTGCACTGTTAAGGGAGCTTTAAAAAGGATAAAGAGATCTAAGATGTGAATTTTTTGGAGGGGAGGGGCTCACTTATTGAGAGCCTGAACAGAATTCACTTCAGATGTCATCCATGCCCATGTTGTAGACGATGGTTCTAGAAAAATCCATCACGACCCACAGAGGCCTTCACCTGCCCTTTCGACTAAACTTGTATGCCAGAACAGCTGACAAGTGTAGCCCAGGGGGCAGGCTGACCCTTCTGGAAGCTCTGGGCACTAGGATGGCGGATAAAATGTTTATGCCTTAAGAACTGGCAAGCATTCTGTCACTCCTCATGAATGTGATATATAAAATCCCAGAATCAGCATCATTTTTGTTATTTAACTTAAATATGCTTGAGGTAATCTTCCCGAAAATCTAGGTAGATCACGTGTCATCTAGATTTTTACCTTCTGTTAATATCATTTAAAACAATAGATTTTTTTAGGCCAAAAAAAATAAAGTGCTTAGGGCTGAGGAATTAAGAAAAAGCTAAGGAATGAATTCACTTAGACAGAATCTATTTTCTCTAGCCTTATTTTCTGGGCAAACAATTTGTTTACACCTTTGGGACTTAGGTTATTCTAGACAATTAGGGTAGAAGAGGCCTTCTGTTCTTTTGGATAACTCCCTAAGCCACCACCTGACAGAGTACTGCACATACCCAGGACTGGCCCTCGCCCGATTATGAAGTGAACCTCAAAGGCTACTTAGTGACTCTGCCACTTGATGGTGGACTAGGAGAGTTAGGGCTGGAAGACCTTAGAGACCCTCTGGTTCCCCTCCCTCAGGGTCAGTGTGAGGATGAAATGAGATGAAGCCCCTAAAGGATTCCACAAACCTAAAAATGAATAATGATAATAATAGCTAATGGTTACATAGTGCCTACTACATGTCAGGCACTGTGCTCACAGTGTTACAATTATCTCATTTGATACTCACAACAACACTGGAAGAAGGAGCTATTATGCTTCCCATTTTACAGATGAGAAAACTGAGGCAAAGAGAGGCAAAATGACTTTCTCAGAATCACACAGCTGGTTAAGTGTCTGAGGCTGGATTCTGAAGAGAGGCCTTTCTGTCTCCAGGCCCAGCTCTCTGGGCACTGAGGTGCCCCCTTGCTGCGTGAATGCTAAATAGGTAGCTGGTGGCCCAGGGGATAAGGGTGTAAGGGCTTGGTGTCAAGAAGACCTGAGTTCAAATTCTGCCTCACAACCTCAATTTCCTTATTTGTGAATTAAAGCCAAGAAAAAGGTTCTTTCCAGCCCTAAACCTATGATCCAGTGATCCATTAGTTATTATTTAACCCTTTCATTTTCCAGATAAGAACATTGAGGCCCGAGGAGGTTAAATCCACAGCCAAGGACCTAGGAGTCAATGGCCATAAGGATTTGAACCCAGGCCTTCTGACTCCAAATCCTGTACTCATTCCCCCTTACTGCGGATTAGACTGCTCCCCAAATCAGCTTCTTCCCTATGACTTCTCTGCGTGTCCCTGCTGCCGAGGCACACGAGGCAATGGCATGTCCTGGGGAACTTGGCCTGGAAGTATTGTTTTAGTTCTGAAATGGGAACAACGAACAAGGCCAGGCAGGCAGGGTTCTCCAAAAGGCACCAGGGCGGGAGTGTGACGCCCTGAGAGTCTGCCAGAGCCCCCTGCTTAGCTGAGCTCAGGCCGCACACCCCCAATACAGCGCAGGGAAGCTTCTCCTGCTGCCGCTTAAAAAGCAACGGAAATGTGTTTAATGGTCTGATGAGAGAAGGAAAATGAAAGAAAGCGTTTTTGCCTCTATGGGATGTTAAACTAAGTTATTTTCCTTATTTCTTAGTGGATGCTGGTTATAATAGAAAATCCACCATGTGCTTTTTATGCATATTTGTCCCATGTGATCAAGCTGATATTTTAAAAAGGAGTGAAGCTTCAGGCAGAGTTGTAAACAAGAAAGGCCAGTTTGGATTGGCTAACTGCTAGAAAACCACTCCGTATCCTCTTTCAAGTCAGCGCTTAGCACAGTGCCTGGCCCGTAGCAGGCACTCTATAATGTTTACAAATGATTGAGTCAGTCTATATTGTTCTAGTCTAGAATCAACTAGAATTTAGAGACTAAAATTACCTAGACTGTTAGTTAAGACATGGAACAATTAAAGAAGATAGTTGTGAATAACTTTGTTCACCTATTCTGTAATTATAAAAACCTGAATGTCAAACAGGCTCCACTAAATATTTAATCATGTCTTATTTTTTGTTGAAAGTATGGATTTTTTAAATGTAGATTGAAAACTTGATAATTTCTCAAGTCTCCATCCTCATTTAACCAACTAGGATAGCCTGATTTGAGTCAAAGGAGATGCCTTTTTTATTCTGATTGACTGAGAATTCTGGTGAATTTGCAATTAAAACAGAAAGAATTCACACATCTCCAATTTCAGAGAATTAGAATCTACTCAAGTACCCATGGTGGAGCCACTACCAAACATAATTTCATTTAATGGTGACTCGGATGAGACTTTGCCCCTGGGTCAATATAACCAAGGGAAGCCTACAAAGTAGTGATACTTTGTGTCTAAAATTCAGCAAATAGTCATCACCTACTGTATGCTGAACAGATCACTGAAAATGAGGAATCACCCCCTGTGTATGGAGCTTTCACCTCAGTGGGGGAAAAAGGCACATCTAGATGTAACAGACCAAGGAGCATGGAGTTTACAGGATCTTTGAGCCCAGCCCCTTCATGATCGAGTTTGGAGCATTCGTCTTACGTGGGAGGGAGCCAAAACTCTGAGAGCCAACGTCACTTGATTTGTCCGATCTTTTGGCACGCCTCAGTCCCTTGACCGTCCCACTACTTATATGAGGTGTCCCATCAGTCTGGGTGCCATGTGAAGCTATGAAAGCTATGGCGGGCTGCTCAGTGGTGCAGGGACTAGAGCACTAGGCCTGGGTCAGGAAACTGTGCCTCTGACGCTTAACTAGCTGTGTGACCCTGGGCAAGTCACTTAGCCGCTCTTTGGTGTAAAATGGTGATCCTAACAGCCCCTCCTTCCCTCCCAGGGATATTGTGAGAATCAAGTGGGATAATAATTGTAAAGCACTTAGCATAGTGCCTGACATCTAGGAAGTGCTATAATTAGCTATTATTACTACTGTCATTATTAAGGCTTTCAAGGGCACAACACTTTTGGTACATTCTATGTGTCTAAATGGGTGATAGCCTTCATACTACTCACCTTTTGATTCCACTGCTCCAGATATTTCTGATGCTTCTCTTTGGATTACTTCCAGTGCCACTGAATGTAACACCATTCTTTTTGTACTCGATTTCATCATTCTAATGTTAATCCTTGTTCTACCTCACGTAGTAATCGCAAACCTGATCACCCAACTTAGTGAGCTCTTGGTTCCAGATTTTACTTATTTGAAAAAACATAATAAACTACACTCAAAAGGAAAAGACTGGCCCCCATTCTATCCTAAGCCATAGGAGCAGTTCCAAAAAGGATATTCCCAAAAGGTTTTTTAAAAATCCGGTCTACTGCGTTTTGGTCATATGTTACACGACTGATAGGAGATTTGGTTGAGTCTGTGGTGACCCTACGGTGTCTTGAGAAGTTGTGTTTTGATCAGATGCTGAGATACACAATGGACTTGGCCTCGGTCTCTTATCTGACATTTGTCATTCCAACCAACTAGAGTTTGGTGGTGGCTTAGATTCCAGGTAAATAGAAATAACCATATTAAAGGTCTTTCCATTTTGCAGTAGGGGATCTCTAGCTTTAATAGTAAAGTTGAATTCTACTAACTATATGATAGTAAAAAAAGTTTTATTCTTGATAATCAGCACAAAAATCAGAATAAAGAGAGTTCTTTGTTAAGACTCACAACAATCTATCAGTTCTTGATATTGTTACTGTGACCATTCCAGCTACATACACACTAGGAGAATGGCTCAACTTGGTGTCTATAGCAATCATAGCTATATGGAGCATTATGGGGAAAATTACTGCTAAGTGGTGCTAGCAGCAGCAGACACTAAATAGTGCCCTGTACTTTGCCTTGCAGGGAACAGCACGGGAATGCCATGCAGCCCTCCGTCAAGGATAACAGTGGGAGCCACGGTTCTCCCATCAGCGGGAAGCTGGAAGGCATCTTCTTCAGCTGCAGCACCGAGTTCAATACAGGGAAGCCCCCCCAAGATTCGCCTTATGGCAGATACAGGTTCGAGATCGCAGCAGAGAAACTCTTTAACCCCAATACCAACTTGTACTTTGGGGACTTCTACTGTATGTACACCGCGTACCATTACGTGATTCTCGTCATCGCCCCTGTTGGGTCACCAGGAGATGAATTCTGTAAGCAGCGCCTCCCGCAGCTAAATTCTAAGGATAATAAATTTCTGACCTGCACCGAAGAAGATGGCATGCTGGTTTACCACCATGCCCAGGATGTCATTTTAGAAGTTATTTACACTGACCCTGTGGATCTCTCCCTTGGCACCGTGGCAGAAATCACTGGTCACCAGCTCATGAGCTTGTCTACTGCAAATGCAAAGAAAGATCCCAGCTGCAAAACCTGCAATATCAGCGTTGGACGTTAATGCGCTCCTCCTGTGCTTCCTTCTCGGCCCTCCTCAGCCCTCCCCTCACCTCCAGCCCTTCCCTAGGAGCATCTGATCCTCCGTCGTCCATTCTCTTTGCCAGGTGTTCTCTGAAGCATGTCCATGCCGTTGTCACCAAAAGCAGTCAGCTACGTTTCACAGTTTCTTTAATAGCACTTTTAGTATTTCCCCTTCCCTTCCGTTCCCTTCCCTTCCCATTGCTTAGATGATAAAAGATCCTGAGTTTTCCTTCCGGCTCACTCATTTATTGCCTAGATGCTGCAATGTCTTTTCTTTATCCTTTTCTGCCGAACGTAACAAAACGAATCTATATAGGCAGCTTTAGCGGAATACAAATTAATGGCTTACAAATGTTGTTTAAATATGCATTCATTTTAATCTACTGAACAAATATTGGGATAACTCCAAACAGCATGAGAGGTTGTAATTGCAGCATGAGTTAAAAATCTTGAAGCCTAGAATCGTCAGCACTTCCAACTTGTTGTTTGACAGTGTTATTTATGTTATTTATATTAGCTAACAGGAAACAACTACTGTGTTTCAACATAATAAATATAATAGAAAAATATTTTATTTGTACTGTTATATAAAATATTTACAGTCATATAGAATATATAGATTACATTTTAATAGCAATTGTACACATCATGAAACCATTTCCCCTTATCAAAGACATGACCTGTAAATCTCAAGTAAGTAGCTGTGTATCTGTTCCTGTTATTATTAGAGACGGATTTCAATTAAACATGTTTATGGAGATTATTCTGATTCATAAAAGTTATAAAATACCAAGTCAACACACAGAAAACAACAAGCCAGGGAAATGAAAAAGTCCACTTGTGGAGTGCTCAACATGTTTCTCATCCAGGCTATGAAAATGTGAATTTTTTCAGAACCATGCTTAAACATTACCTACACTATAAATGCAGATGCGGTTGGGACCAAAGGAAGCGTTGCCATTTTGCATACTGTTGACCAAAACAAAAATGAATGGCAGTGCGTCCTTTCCTACAGAGTGGCATGGACAACATATACTCAATGTGATGTGACAGGCCTCCTCCTCTCTGGTCTTCTCAAAAGCCTCCACTGCCCTCAAGCATTTCCTGTATTTTGTTAGACAATTGGACAGACAATCACAAAGCTTTAAAGGAACTTTTGCCCAGAGACAAGAATCACAGCTTGGGAGGAAATGCTTAGGTCTCACCAGCTTAGAGCAATTACATTGAGAACATTAAGAAAAATGCCTATTTCCAATGGAAAAAGAGTCATGTAATCTGAGTTCCAGGAAGCAAAAAGCTTAGCAGTCATAACCAGCAGTTCAGTTGTATGCTACAGACACTTCGCTATCCAAAATACCTATTTTCAAATTTGAACGCAATATTTTTATTTTAATATAAACATCTGGCAAGTATAGACAAAGAATACTTGATAATTCACAAAGTGCATGCCGTCAGAATGAGCTTTGGTAATTGAAAACACAAAATTTCAAATCATAGGCAAAAATAAGGTGCTAATTTTAATAGAGAAATTAAAAATCAGCAGTCACCTATTCTAAGGTCAGTTATTTTAAGGTACTGGAGACATAAAAGGACAATTGAATGTCTGTGGGCTTTTTGCTTATCTAAAAAATAATTTCTAGTAGAAGCTTAATTAACTATTTTACTACCAACGTTATTCCTTTCTATATTGCTTTCTTATTCCCCCAAAGGAGTTTTAACTTTAACGCCCTCTTCCTCCTTATGCTGTCAATGTCAGCTTGTCTTTAGAAAACTGAATTGGATTTATTTCCTACTGAGTAACCTCCCTCAACAATGGAATATGTCGTTACATTTGTCAACTGAAGTCAACATCAACCTTAAAAAATATTCAGTCGGCTGGGAATGTTCTAAATCATCCTTGGGGATTCCTCTCCCACTGGCTGCTTTTCTTTGACCACTGGGGCCCTTCTCAATTTCTCCCATCCATATAATATCACGATTGCCATCCTTTCTCATCCACAGCTAATTCTGTGGCTTAAAGTGCTTCTGAATACAGCGTTCAAATGTCCCAGTAGGAAGGAGAGGGCCAGAGAAGTTGCCTCGGTTGAGAGAATTCAATCAGGACTTTTCCGCAGCCTCAGATAGTTTTAGACACGTCTTGTTTACTGATGAGAACCTCTAGTAATCGCAGTTTGGCTTTTATGTGCTTATACTCATAGTACTCATCTGCCATGGGAATGCGATCTTCCTTCTGGGGGCTCCTGGAGGGGGAGAAAGGGTGACATGGCGTGTCAGTTCACAAAGGACTCCTTAGGTCAAATGATTGCTTTGGGGTGGCTACACACAGGACAGGGAAAATGTGATGACGACTCAACCTACGAGGTGACTGCCCTGCCTTCTTTTCATGCAGTCCTCCTTGGGGCTTATTTATCTTGGTTTACTCGGGGGATCCTCACAGGCCCAAGGATACGGGGATAGGGAAGTGGAGCAACTGAAGGCCCTGCCCTCAAGAAGGAAACGGTCCTTCAGGCCCTTCCTTGTTGTATTCTGCGCTATGCACTAAAATTCTGTGTTTTCTATACAAAATATTTTGTGCTGCAGTGATAGGGCATTAAAGTCATAAACTAAAAATAAAGACGCGTTTATCTACAGAATCAAAAAAACCTAATTTGACCATTTAAAAAACCAGCTACAGTCACCTAAGTTTAAGCTGTCTGGTTTCAGCAGCCCAGATTTTTATTACCTGGTGCATCAGTCTCACTGTATGGTGTTTTGGGTGAGGTCATTTCCAAAGGTCTAAGTTGTTATTTTTTTCTTTCTACACAGCACTTCAGATAAAGATAGGTGTGTGAATATGCATGAAACTTTCTACTCCATATGCCCAGGTTTATATACTCATGCTTCCATTCACAGTAGACTTGGGTAGTAACATCTGTTGGCAAAATTATTTGCTTTCCCCTCGAAACATTTGTGTTGTCAGGAAATGTTTTCAAGATTCAAACAATTGCTGCATGGTCCCAGAAGGCTAGAGTTCTAACAGTTGCTATGATGGTAAACCGTTTGCAAAACATTTTATATTTCTGACCCGGAAATGGAGAACAGGGATGACAGAGAACCACTCACTGCAACCAATCAGGAAAATATATAAAAAGAGCTATCAGTATGGTTAAGAAAGTTCAAACAGCCACCAGGAAATGCTTCTCTATCTCTGGCCACTTCTATTTTTCCTATTGACAGTAAGAGACATCACCAATTCCCAGCTTTGTTCATCCACAGCTAAGAGAATTAAAATAATATCCCAAATAGATTTATGTTTTTAAAGTATCTAACCCTCTACTATGGAAGAGTATCACTCACTTCACTGAAATCTGATGTACCACAAGTAATATAGGGCAGCAACTAAAAGGAAAAATTAGGTAGAAAGGTTCCTCATTTCTGACTCGTTTCTCTAAATGCAAATTGTCTCAGGTCACTCAGCTTAAATTCTGGCCTCTAGACGAAGTCCCCTGGAGCCAGGAGTCCGAGGGGCACAGTCTGAGGCTGAACTAAGAGAGCTGGTGTAAGAGACCCGGGTAGAACCCGGGAGTGGCCACTATTCACCCGCTGCCAACCAACACTTCTGATGGGTTCCTGGTATCTCTAGCCTCAGTGAAAACCTTTCTATCTGCCCCTATCCCATCAAATGAGATGATACGGTAAAGTTGCCTCTCCCCCTCCCCTCAACCTGGATGCTCTCTTGCCTAACAAGCAAGAGCATTCTGACCAAAAGAGGACCCAGACCTAGAATTCTTGCGGCTTGCAGGGAACAACTCCCACCAGTCAAGCTGGCATTTATTAAGCACCTTTTGTGTGCCAGCCAGTCACGGCTAGGCAATGGTGACACAAAGACAGAAATGAGACACTCCCTGTCCTCTGGGAGCTTACATTCTACAGAGAGACACTGTCCATGTGTGTACGTGTACACGTATGTGCACGTGTGCTCTGGCAGAGTACATCTTCATACGAAATTATACTGTTTTAAACTTTACAGTAATGCTTTGTTAGGGCTAACTGCCATCAAGGCAAACCCTTCCCTTCCCTACAAAGTTGCCAGTGAAAGCAAACCTCAATACTATCCCCTGTTTTTCCAGTCACCCACAAAGGCCCTGTGATGTGGTGGAGAGCCCTGAGGAGGCAGGAGAGACAGCCAAGCCCTGGCTTAGGCTGGGCTCTGGGCCCCTTGGGAAATGTGTACAGCGTGTCCCCCCCCGGGGGGCCTTAGGGGACTCGTGTGCAAGATGAGGACCGTGGCTCTTCCTTCTGTAGTCTTTGAAAGGGGGTCAAGTTCCATGATGGAGTTTAAACCTATTACCACCAGGGGGCCAACAATGCCGTAGAAATCAGCTCCAATGGTGAGTCAGAACTCGAGGACACACTGAGTACCATGTTGACAACATGACTCAGACGTGTGCAGCAACACACTAGCATGCACCCTGCGGCCATTTCAGCAAGGATATTCTCTCTCTCCCTCTCTCTCTCCCTCTCTCTCTCTCTCTCTCTCTCTCTCTCTCTCTCTCTCTCTCTCTCTCTCTCTCTCTCTCTCTCTCTCTCCCTCTCTCTCCCTCTCCCTTCCCCCCCCTTCCCTCCCTCTTTCTCGTTCTCTCTCAAATTGGAATGGGCTCTGGCTTGGGATCTTAACTCCGAGCCCCGGGACCCTGGGTACACCACTGAACCAGCTGCCTTGGTCTCTGGCTCCTCTTCAGCCCAATCAGAGCGTTGGACCCAATGCCCTGCGGGTCCCTCAGAGCTCTAAACCGACCCTAGTACGGTGGAGCGGGAAGAAGAAATCCTACTTCACAGCTGGTGTGGTTTGGGCAAAGCAGGCACTTCCCTGGAGCTCAGATTCTCTAGATCTGTGATCCAACATACTACTAAGTTTATTAAATTCCTAATCAACTTCTAAGAAAGGATGACTAGAATTATCATCCTGTAAGTAACGAGCTTTCTGCTGCCTGCAGATTCAGCCTTATACACCCTTGGAACAATTATAAGGGTTGACACTTTTTAGGCAA